TTCTGCAAAGATAAGCCTTACCCAGTGCCTTCAGTGCTCAGTACATTTGCACTTGAAGAAATTAGCCAAGAGATGTTATCAGATTAAAATTTTAAAAAGAAGCATTTTGCCCTTTTGTATTTTGAACTGGAGGCTTGCTCCTGAAGTCATAAAGCAACTCTCCTTTCTAGGACTAAATGTTAAAGAGAGCCTGCAGGCAGGCTGAAAAGCTCGCTAGGTAACTGCCTAAATCCACGTGTTGAGTCAAAGTGGGAGAAAAGCAACAATAGAGAGATGGGTTGAGTCTGGCCACTGACATCCATGGACCTGGTTCATAGGGATTATAAAATATGAGAGTGGGTTGGCTGGTCTGAAGTTTATAGAGTTGTGTGGAGCCTGAGCCTATGGATGACCTAACTTAAGAGGGCTAGGGTTGTTAAGAATTTGTGACAAGCCCTTAGTCGAAAGGCAAACTGGCCAATAGGTACCCTGGTGAAGCTAGGTGAGACAGCAGCCCACATTGAGTTTACCAGATGAAAATAAAGTTTTTCGAGCCTGTGAATTGGTGCATATTGCTGCTGATTTATGGACAGCCCATCCTGATTTGAATTTCCTCAGGGATTTGGACTCACATGTTTCCACCTGGAATAAAGATTCTTCACATCAAAGAGCATGCTTGTTTCCTGAGCTCACTGGGTTGATATAAATGGGCAGTATAGAAATTGGATACCCCCAATTGGGTGGATAAAGGCATGAAGTGGCTGGCTTACAAATGATAATAGTCTGGGGAATATGTTCATAGGCTTATAGGATTATGGTATAGGTGTTCACATAACAGAAATTGGTAGGCATAGAATACTTTTGTTTCGTTCACTTGTAGAACATTTTGTTTAAATGAAGTGGCACATTTTGAATTGTATGCATTTTAGTTTTATCCTGTTAAGCACAGATATGATTTTACTATTGTCTTTGTTTTCAAAAGTATGATCAACTAAAGAGTTGTGTAAAAGTGTCAAACTGGCAAAGGATGGTGTGGTAGTTAAGAAATTTTGCATCAACTTAAGACTATTAAGAGTGAAGGGGTGGAGTTTAGCCTGATGTGAATCAGGTCACATCATTTGGAGGTGCCACTGAGACAAATAGCTCTCTGGAGGCAGGTCACTGTCTCCCTCTGCCTTCACCTTCCTGTTGATGAGTCATGCTGAGATCTGTGAAAGCCCTGTGATGTTTCCAACATCATTAGATCCACAAGACTTTTCAACCACCAGCCTGTGATCTTCCTACATTTTACATCATTGCATGAGTCTGAAGAGGAACCTATGGACTAGTATCAGACTTATGGATTTGAGGTGGACTGGGCTGTGATGCTTTATTGACACGGTTAATTCTTGATAAAAACTCTTTCTTATACACATATGAATGTCTCTGGATTTGTTTCTGTAAGCAACGTGGCCCTACACAAATATTTACTGCATAATTTAAAGAAGAAAAAATTGATCTTAAAAGTATTATAATAATTGTTATGAAGCCTTACATTTTTGGACACTCTAAATTATACTCAAACAGAGTCCATCTATGTGTTTTTCTTAATTTTCTTTTTTTTCAATGGTGTGGTCTGGCTTTGTAGTACCCAACATGTAGTCCTTGTGTGTATTGCACAGATGTTCACACACCCCCTCCCCCCAACAAAAAGTCCATTGCCATCTATAGATTATAACTTATAGTAACTCTATGAGACATAGCAAAATTATCCCTTTAGGTTTCTAAAACTTTTCATCTTTAAAAGGCTGCAGAATGACTGGTCGGTTCAAACCACTGACTTTATGATTTGAAACTCAATGGATAACTAGCTAACATGACCATGGTCCATATACAGCTTCCTTTGAAAGTCCCTTAATACCTAATTATTTTATCAATACTTCTTCCTTTTTTGTTTTATCAGTAATTTGTGGGTCTAAATCCTTCTCTTATGTAAAGCTAATATAGTAAATTAGTAAATCAGTATAACTTAATAGCTAAAAATATAGTGGAACTGCATACCTAAGAAACAAGCTGATGCAGTCAATCGAATGCAATTGTCTGAATCAGTGTCTCAAATAACCCCAGGAACAGGTTTGACAAAAAAAAGTTCTGATTTTCAGCAGATGGGCAACTGGTTTTGCCTCCACGACAATGCATGTGTTCACATAACCATCTCAGTGCACAAAATTTGGCCAAAAACAGCATGCCTCTCTTGCCCTAAGTACCTAACTCACCTGACTTTGCTCCATGCAACTTCTTTTTGTTTCTGTGAATTAAGAGGGACATGAAAGGACACCAGTTTGATGACATCAAAGAGATGAAGACAAAAATGAGGGAGGTGTTGTTAGCCATCCAAACAGATGAGTTTGAAAAATGGTTCTAAGTATGGAATTGCAGATCTCACAAATGTATTAAGTGTAATGGAGAGTACTTTGAAGGTGATAAAGTTGTTTTGTAAAACAAACAAAAAAACACATAATACATAATTTGGGGGGGGGATTCCATTTGGGAGGGCTACCCCCTCATACATGTATTCTACACCAGATGTAAGCCACTAGAATCAAATAGACCACATTTGTGAAAAGATACAATGGAGAAACTAAAAATCAGCAAACAAGACTAAAACATGGATGTAGAACATACTATCAATTGCTTAATGTAAGTTCCAGTTGAAGTTCAAGAAAATTAAAAGTCCACAAGAGTAAAAATAGGTCTGTAAGTGTATCCCAACTGAATTTAAAGAACATCTGAATAATATATTTGATTCATTGAACACTAATAGCAGAATACCTGAAAAGTCATGGGATAATATCAAGAACATCATACATGAAGCAAAGGATCACTAAAAAGGAACTAAAGAAAATATACAAATGTATGTCAGAAATTACTCTGAAACTGCTCTTTATCACAGAGCAGCGGAAATAAATGAGAGAAAAGAGGACTTAAAGAGCTGAACAGAACATCACAAAGGGCCCTAAAGAAGATAAAAGATTATAATGAGATGTGAAGTCAGTAAAGTTAGAAAACCAAAATGGAAAAACATGCTCAGCATCTTACAAGGTGAAATAATTGAATGAAACAAAAATAAAGTCTTAATTTGCAATACTGAAAGATTCTGTGGAGAACATACTAAATGATGCATGAAGAATCTAAAGAAGATGGAATAAATATTCAGAACAATTGTACCAAAAAGAATTTGTCTAGTTCAACCTTTTAATTAGGTATCTTAAAATCAAGAACCAATGGTATTAAAGAATTCCAAATCACACTGGAACCATTAGTAAAAACCTAGGCTCGAGAAATTGACAGAATACTATTGGAAATATTTCAACAAGCTGATGAAACACTTGAAGTACATATTCACCTACGTTAACAAATTTGGAAGAGCGCTATCTGGCCAACCAATTGGAAGAGATTCATATTTGTGTCCACTTCAAAGAAAGGAGACCCAGCAGATTGCAAAACTTATCAATGTCATTACTATTACATGAAATTAAAATTGTGCTTAAAATCTTTCAACAATGATTGCAGCTGTACATCGACATAAAGCTACCTGAAATTCAAGCTAGATTCAAAATAATATCAGATTGATCTTGATGAATCTTGGAAATAAGTTTACTTCTGTTTTATTGACTCTTCAAATTGCATAGCAAACTGATATCATTGAAAAGAATGGGAATTGGAAAGCACTTCATTTACTCCCGGGCAACTTGTACATGGACAAGGCAGTTGTTCAAACATTAAATAAATAAATAAAAATAAGAGGGTTGTTTCTTTCACCACAGTTATTCAATCTGTTTGCCGAAGAATAACTGAGAAACTGGACTGTATGAGAAGAATGTGACATCGGGATGGCAATGAGTGGTTTCTTTGGTATTCATTCATGTAGCTCAAAGTCCCTGGTGGCACAAATTAACTGATACAGTGGTGGTTCAAATTCAATGAAAGGCACCTCAAAAGCAAACCTGGTCATCTACTTCAGAAAGTACATCTGAAAGAAGGACCTATCACAGCCACTATATAAGTGCATATATACATACACATACACAAAGAGGAGAGAAGATTGCAGCTATTGAAAACCCTATGAAGTGCAGGTACACTCTGAAAATATGGGGTCACCATGAGTCAGTACAGACTCTCCTGCAACATTTTGTCTAAATTCTTATTTTTTAAAAAGTAAATAGAGAATTCTCACTAAGGAGAAATATCTAAGCCTTGGACACTTCCTAAGATTTTATACAGGGGTATGGACATTAATACAGGGGAAATAGAGTAAGAAGGAGAGAATCACATGGTTTCTTAATTATAGTCCAGAAGCCATGGTTGTTCAGTGTTCTCAGAATATAAATTTTAAATCTTCCATTTAAAAAATAGGACTTGAAGATGCTTAGTTATGGAGAGTATGATAACTAATATAGGAATGAAACACATGATAAAATAAGATTTATACTAAGAAATGTGAGTCTCTAGTATATAATACACATTCAAATAAATATATCCCATCATCTGATAATTTAGCATTCCCCTTTCCTTCATATTTTATATTATTATAACAGTTAATATAAATGTTTGATTTTGGAGTTTATATAACTCTAATTCATTTGATATTTGACTTTTGATTTCAAATCATCTTAGAAGTTTTAATGCCAAGCAGACCACTAAATAATTGAGTCTGTTTTGAGTCTCAGACATGTGTTTTTTTATTATTTGTAGAAAATTTCTAACAATCTCAGCGGACTATTTCTGACTAAGCTTAATGTAAATTTGAAAACTAACTATATTAATTTTTACATAATTTAATAATGCCCCAGACAAGAAAAACCTCCATCGAAGGCCTGAAGTATCACATACGACAAGCTCCATTTACATAAAGCCACAATCACTTTGATTTCCTGAATCCCACAACACGGGTATGTTTTTCAAACCTTGGTTCATAGTTTTGTCTACAGTAGGGTTTCTCTGTTGTTGTTTTCTTCCACAGCTGAACTATGACTCATCTACTAGGAGACCACACATCTCCCTGCCAGCTTCCTGAGAGCTGCTACCACTTCCTTGTTCCTCAGGCTGTAGATGAGAGGGTTTAACATCGGAGTGAGGATATTGCTGAAAACAGAGAGAGCCTGATCCTGCTCTGGACTGTGAGAGGAAGTGAAAGTCATGTAGATGAAGATGTTCGGGCCAAAGAAAAGACTCACTACAGTTAAGTGGGAAGAACATGTGGCCAGAACCTTTTTCCTGCCCTTGACAGAGTTCATACGGAGAACAGTGAGGAAAATAAGAGTATAAGAAGTTGTGATGAGGCTGAAGGGGACAACAAGCAGCGCGATGCTTGTCACCACCACAACTAACTGATACACTGAAGTGTCTTCACAGGAGAGCTTAATGAGCACAGGAACTTCACAGAAGAAGTGGTGGATCTCCCTGGATCCACAGATGGGGAAATGCATGGGGTAGACTGTATGTACAAATGAACTGATAGAACCTCCAATCCAACAGGCAGCAACCAAGTGCAGACAGAACCTGGGGCTCATGATGATGGAATAACGTAGTGGGTTGCAGACAGCCACATAGCGATCATACGCCATCAGAGTCAAGATGAGGCACTCAGACATTGCCAGCATCAGGAAAAAGAAACTCTGGGTTCCACAGCCGATCCAGGAGATGGTCCTTTTGTCTGTGAAAAAGTTATAGGCCATCTTTGGTACAATGGTGGAAGTTAATGTTAAGTCAATGAGAGAGAGCTGACTAAGGAGAATATACATGGGTGTATGAAGTCGGGAGTCCCCAGAAATCAGGACAATCAAAAGTATGTTACCCAGGAAGGCAAGTATGTAGACAAAGATGATCATGGAGTTCAGGATAATGGAATGCTGAAACTCGGGAAACAGTCCCACGAGGATGAAATCGGATACTGAGGACTCATTTATATCCACCATGTCTTTTAAAAGAAATATGAACAGGGCTAAGAAAAAAGTCAAAGGGATCACTGCAGTTGATATTCTTATATAATCTATGGATGAAAAATTTTATATATTTTCCCTAATTTCTTAGCTTTCAAGTAATATTTCCATCATGCCATCACAGATATGCTATCATATATTGTTGAAAGTTTCCTAAAAGCTATTAAATATGAAATGATAAGGATGATTAACTTCATAGTTTATTAAACTTTGTTAAATTTTCTTCTCCCTTTCTTCCTCTTTTTTCTTTCTTCTCTTTGTTTATTTATGTTTTGCATTTATTAGAGAATCTTCTGAAAACTATGATTCCTGGATCCACTTTCCAGAAATATGCACCCCAAATTTTCTGATAGCCATGAACTCTAGCTATTAACATCTGGTATACTTGGGTTAAAAAAAAGGAAAGGAAAAACTAACTAATGCATTACATTTTATTGTAATCGTTGCAAATCAACTATTGGACAAAACTTGGATATTTTATTGATTTATTTTTCTATTTTATATTTTTTGCTAATTGTCTTGGCATCATAAATATAGTAATAGATAACTTCAGATTTGTATGTCTTTTCTACTCAGAAACCATCGATGCTTTTACCAAGTACAATGTATCTTTTTAGGCTAAAATTGTATATATTCCATGGTGAGTTTATCTCAACTTGCCTTATAAAATTTATATTCTATCATTTTAATCTCATGACTCCAGGTCCAGTCAAATGGATGTCTTCTTGGTTCCTGCACCTGACTTACATATCTTGTCAGAATCAGAACACTCACTTCCATCGTTGGAATTCTATGCATTCTTTAAATGTACCTTTTTATAGAACAGTTTTTTGGAATCCCAAAAAAGGACAAAATCCCTCCAATAGTCTCTTAATTGTATTATACTTGCCATTGTTTATAAGCATAGCTGAGAGAGAGGACAGTGTGAATGCTGAGAGCATTGATTAGAAGTAAGACTGGATTCGAAGCCCAGCTCCACCACTTACTTAGGGAAAGATCTCCCTATCTCTCTTTCTCAAACTTAAATTAGGATGGCTAGGCAAGTTATCTCAATGGGTAATTATGAGGTTTAAATGAGTTAATACAAGTAAACCTCTTAGGACAGTGCCTATACATAGTAAATACTCAATAGATTTATGGTTTTCTATATACACAAATTCTCCCAAATGAATTTTAATATTTTAATTGAAAGTTTATGTTCTACTTATCTATGTTCCAATAACACCAATTTAATAACTTAAAAGAGTATGTATCAAAAATATTTATTAATCAGCAGGTTTAACCAACTCTGTGGACTTAATCAATATACTTTATCAGATATAACATATGGCAAACACCCAACTGAAATTCCACTCCTGGAGAGTGCTAAATATTTTCACTATGTCATGGTATTAAAAAGTGGAGTCCCCACTGCTATCTAACTTAAAAAACTGCTACATATATGGAAATTTCTTTATGCACTGACGTTTCCTAGCAGAACTGTGTTGTGCCAAAACACCTGGAAATCATATTGTCTATTATTGAAACAGAAAATCTCGAAAGGTAAAGAAATGTCATCCTCTGATTTCAGTTGATTGTTCTTTTCTGGAGGTGTATTTTCTAATTACCTTATGGAAGAAAAAAAATCTGACAATTATCTCTATTGCTTTCATGATGAATGGCAGAAATATAAAATACAGAAGGAATTACTTACCTAATTATGTAATTAATGAACATGAATCATTCATCTCACCGAAAGTTATGTTCACATCATTTCAGAAGAGGGATGTTTAAAATAGTTCCTGAAAACATTTTCCAACCATTCATTTTGTATTCTACATACATTGAATTTTCACTACAAATATTTTATTAAGTGCTGATGTGTTGGGCAACAATAAATTAGAACATGTTCTATGTCTTCAGTAATCTCTGAATTCAGATCTTGAATCATTCATACATTTCACTAGTCACAGTTGTGAATAAAACACTATCACTAAGACTTCTTTGAGGAGCCACGATAGTGCTGTCACAAACCCATCAGCCACTCTGAAAGAAAGGTCAGACTCTGCTCCTGTAAAAACTCACAGCTGAAAATCCAATGCAGGTTGTCTGTGCGTTGGAACTGACTCCCTGCTAGTGGGTTAAGGCTCCTTTAGAATGCTATATCAACACAAGAAGACAACTTAATATTTAGGTAAAAGAAGAATGGAGAATTTTGTAAGATTCTTTCAGTTTTGTTTCACCTAGTGAGAGAAAGTCGTGGAAATGTAAAGAACTGAAGCAAGAAAGGGTTTGTAATGGTTAAAAACCTGCAGAGTTAGAGCCACGTTGCATAACGGAAAAATAAATTGATATTTTTACTCAATCCATTTTAGCCCAATAACCCTGAAAGTTTGCATTTATATATTATGGTAATTCATCTGTCTGCTAAAAATACATGAATGTCTTTTCTAGAAATAAGGACAATCAGAGGCAATGAGGTGAGTGTGGTAAATAAACAAGATGTGAAATATTCTCTGTGCTCAAAATGTTCCCACTCATAATAATCATCAGCAAATGCCTTGTTATACGATCTTCTCCAGGTTTGCACCCTAACCCTCCACTATAAAACCATGAATATTTATGAAGGGGATGAGTTTATAATTTTGAGATTTTTGAGTGTCAAACAAGTTACAAACACAGAAGATAGAATAAAAGAACTAGTGTTTAATAATTCTGCAGCCAACCATCCCAAATGTTTTTCATATCTGTGCTTTCGTTTCTGCAGTTATTATTATTGTAAATAGTTAAATATATACTTAAAATTTATAAATATTCATTAATTAATACAATTCATACAATTTCCTAAAAATAAAAAAACAAGCATTTGTATTTTGTAGGAGGTAATAACAATTGCTCATTGCACACTCAGGCTAAGAAAATGTTTTTTAATATAAAACTAAATTGTCACTCAATAAACATTTCTGAATTATTTATTGAATTATTCTTCCAACAATAAAGTATTTTATTATTTAAACAAAATCATTAAAATAGACATTAAGAGTCAACTGTGAGCATGTCTCCATCATTTCTTTAGTACTGAAAAACATAGACCTACTCCTAGCAAAGAATGCAGTATTATGAGTTAACCTATAGAACTTTCTTTTTCTTTTTTAAAGTTTCCAAACACATTTGTATCATTTGAGGAAAACTACAATGCACTTATTGTTAACTTCTTTCAAGGTTGTGTTTATGAGGGTATATATAAAGCAGCTTAAAATAAAGTCAAACTTCAGTCACAAAGCAGTTTTATTCTAAAAGAAAACTGGTGAATTCAAAGAATTATATTACTTGATGACTGAATATATCCTTGACCATACCCTTGTGTGTTTCCAAACAAAAGTCATAAATCTCTAACATTTCTTTTAACATCTTTAGTGGTGCCTGCTCCATAATTTTGCTGGTTTTGATTAGACTAAAACATTATTCATTTGCTACGATTTGAGCAGAGAGTCCATCAGAAATATGATTGTAAGCAATTTTCCTTTGAATCCTAGGTCGCTAACATTTACACATCTTAAATTGCCACTTAGACTTATATATATAATTTTTTTTCTTGTAACACCACAGTCATAAAAACCTGACAACAGTTAAGATTTAACATCCAACACACATTCTCTACAGAATTTCCATTACCAATCAAGGTTCAGAATGGTTTTCTTGAGTTTGGTATCTACCTTAAAGTTTATTTATTGGGAGTCATCTATGCTTCTTGAAATTTCTGCCATCTTCTGGATTTTCCACGACCAGACACAGTTTCTCATTAAGTAGAATTACAGCCTTTTTTCATTAAAAAAAAAAAAAGCAATGCAGTTGGCATACTGTTTATGGAAAAATAATATTTTGGAAATGAGCTCAGTGATTCTATTCTATAATACGAAGGAGATTAAATATCAGTTAGAATATAACTTGCCAGTTTGCCTAGTAATTTGTCATTAGGGCTGGGAGACTTGTCTGAGGAATGACTTAGGGGAACATAGTCCCCAGACTTTAATTAATGTACATCTCAGTCCACAATGGTGAACATAGGAAATTAAAGAAAATTGTGTGAAACCATCCAGATGCACACAAGCAGTTATTCCTCACCGTGGAAATATTCACAGATTTTCCAACCGCATAATATGCCTCTACAGTGCCCATGACGAGAAAGAACAGGGCACATCATAAAATCCACTCAGAGTTATACCACCTACGAAACCGAGGACTTCAGTGAAAGGACAACTGCCCCAAAGCATGATGTTCATCATTACCAACACCATCTTCCATCTCCCACACACAAAAAAAGCTTTTTCAAATTTATAATTTTATTGTCATCATGTCTTATAGAGAATTTCTTTTTTTGGAAGTTGATGATTATATAATTTCATTTTAGTAGTTGGGCATATCGTAAAGAAAGTTAACTCTGAGGTCAGAATAAAAATTGGTAACTAAATATAATTATATTTGAATTACTCGTATCTGAGTTTTATTGTGTTGTTTTAGATGGGGACATAATAATAAATGTCTCCATAAACCCATTCACTGCAATCTATTGATCCCGACCCATAGTGACCCTGCAGGAGAAAATGGAGCTGTCCCCTTGGGTTCCTGAGACTTCAAATATCTGCAGGGGCAGATTGCATCACCTTTCTCTTGGGCAGTCTCTTTCTCCCTTTTGGCTTAGTGGTTTGAGCTGCACACCTTGTGGTTAGCAGTTCGATGCCTAAAACCACCATGATATCTGTTCAAAAAGAAGTACTTTTATGATAAAGTGTATACTCCTTTTTTAGTGTTCCTCAGCAAGTCAACGTGGTGTTACTTTTTTAGTTAATTATTACCTGGTTCTGAGGGTTGGGTCCCATTTGTCTACCTTCAGTCTAATACGTGGTATCTGAAAGAACAATGCTTCCTTTCTCTAAATACAGCCTGATCGGCCATGACTGAATCTGTGCACATAAATACAGAAACAAAAAATGGTACAAATTATCATAAAAAATCAATTAGTTTTAAAATTAAAATATCCTGTTGAATCCCTT